CTAAAGATCCACATAAAAACAATTATTTATTATCAATTTTTCATCTCCAGTATAAAACTGCAAACTAGATCTATATTTTACTTTGGGGATAAATATCCAGTTAAAAGATACAGTTCCAGTTTACAGCATTTGTACCCTGTTTTGAAATATTACTTGATGAGTTATACTTCGTATTGAAGTTTACATTGTATAGATGTCATGTGAATTTATGAATTTGCTAAGCTCCATATTACTTGTTAATGTCCCTGGTTTTCTTATAATTTTTATCTTTGTATTTTCTGGTGTTATCAGTCTAAGAATGCACAAGCACGAGGAAAGAAAACTGGGAATGAAGGTGAAGTTACATGTGAAGAAGAAGATGTATCCACGTCTGAGCAGAACCAAAATGAAAAACAATCAGAAAACCTTTCTGGGCATTCTGATGTCCACTCTCATGAGCAAGTAAGCATTCTTGTCTTCTCTTTATACCTTATATCCATGTGGATGTTGTCATCGGAGTATCCACTTTTAGTCCCAGAGTATTTACTTATCCACTTTTAGTCCCAGAGTATTTACTTTTTTCTTGTCAATTGGGCTAGCTGGCTAAGGCTTCTCTATATAATGAAACAGAGGGAGTACTTTGTTATGTCATTGTGTAGTATAAATCCAATTGTCCACATGTCCCTGGTGGTGAAAAGGCATTGCTATTTTTTTAAAAATGTTTTTGAATCAAACTAATTAATTCTATGATATTTATATATAACTGATCAAGTAGAGAATAGCAATGGAATTGAATTGATACCAGAGATTTTTTTTATTTAATTTGTTTCCAAATTTTGAATCTTCTTTCTTTACAGATTAGAATCTCTGTTATCTTGTTGGTATATTCATGGTGTTTTTTTTACACTGGCCTTGACAAATGATGTTGCAATCTGCTGATAAATAAATAATTTCTCATATATATCTATAGCAGCTGATCATTAGAGTTTTCTGTCATTGAACAGGCTGAGGAGCCAATCTTAGAAAAAGAGGGTGGGCAGAAAAAGAGTCGTAATCGGGGTCGCGGAAAGGGGCGTGGAAGGGGTCATCATAATCATCACCAAAATAATAGGGGGCACCATGTGGGCTCCCCACCTGTGAACAATGTAATGAACGCAGAGCACCCTATTGTAGCAAAGCAGCAGCCTCCTGGTCCTCGTATGCCTGATGGTACCAGAGGGTTTTCTATGGGCAGAGGGAGGCCAATTGCTGTCAATACAACTGCTTAAAAATAAGCCTCCTGTCCCACATTTGGTTGCTAAGTTCTTCAGTTTCGTGTGCTTCCGATGTCAGTGTGTGGCTGTGTGTTGGGTGCTTGTGAGGGGGAGTTTTGCCGCTCTGTTTGTGGGTTAATGGCAGGGTTTTAGAGCGAACTGTTGGTTTGGCTTTTAATCCTATGTTGTGCTTTGAGTGTCATTTGCTTCCAGGAAAAGATGATGTCGAAAATGTATGTTGCCTATTTGTTCTTATGAACCCCTCTCCCCTTCTGAAAGGGGGTAAAAAAAAAAAAGAAAGAAAAATGTAGAAAGTAGACCAAGAACCTCGGATTATATACCTGTAGAGATGTGAATGAAGAACTTACAATGAAAGGCAAGTAATGTATTTGTGGCGCCTCCTCTCTCTCTCTCTCGGCTAGAGATGATCTAAAACTACCAAGTTGCTTTTGTTAGACCCAATTAATCAGGCTGATTTACAAAATTTGTAGATCAACCACCTTTTTTTTTTTGGAAATAATGAAATGATAATGATACCCCTCGTTATATGACAAAGTTGCTCAGTTAGCTAAAATAACCATGAATTGAAAGTTAGGCTTATAAACTTGATTTTTTTTTCATTTGGAAAGGGCTTTTTGCTCTCAGAAATAGAATTATTGTTAAAAGTGTGTCATTTAATTTTGTAAAAACTCAAACCCTTGAGAATGAGAAAGGCAAAGAAGCTCATCTTAATATCCTTAGTGAGGCTTTACTTTGATTTTTGCACAAAAGTTATATAGAGGAAATGAAAAAAAAAAAAAAAAAAACATTTTATTTCCAATACACCTAATTGGCAAAACTTCCAATACACCTAATACTTCCTGTTTTTAAAACAAGTGTAATATGTTTACTTAACATGCATTTTTAAGAAAAATAATTATAAGAGGTAAATGGACAAATTACCTATCTAATTTAAACATTGGTAAGAGAGACGGGTGTTCTTTGCTATGTTACATGGACTCGGGTTTGGTTGTTCAAGCGTTCGATTCAACTAATTTGTATAGTAATTTCATGATTTTTAATTAAAAGTGAAGAGTCCAAGTGTTACTCATGCCCAAGTAATAAGGGTTCGACACGGGTCTTTAAATAAAAATGAAAAGTTCGAGTAGCATAACAATGTTTAAGTTCAATTATTTTAGCCAATTTGTTCACTTGCCCTATTTCACCTCTGTATTAAAATACATGCCGTAGAGATGGTTGCCTTTATGAAAAATAGAGGAAGTAAGAAAACCGTAAACAATATGCAATATCAATTTGTGAGGTACTAAGAAGGCTATGCTTGCTATTTAATGAACTCCACTCTATCATCTATTGGATTTGCTTCTTGATAGATGTGATATTTTTCAATAAGCAAAGAGTTGAGAAGAGAATGAACTATATTTGTACAATATTATACCAAATAATTAGGTTAAAAGTACAAACAGACACTTGTTATTGTCATCGATGACAAGAGTAATTTTGGCGTAAACTTCTTCTCAAACCCCATTTAAAACACTTTAAAATAGTTTTCAAGTGTATGTACCTAACTTGTTATGGAGTAACTCAAGTAGAGTTGACCTGTAAGATACCAGCCCATCTTTTGACCTTAGAAATTCTTTCTACCGTTAAAATGAGAACCCTCCCCCTAGTGTAACCTATTACCCTCAAAATAAGGGTAATAGTTCTCTTTTTTCACCTATCACCATACCATCACTATGGGCCTGTTCCGATTGACTGAACTCAGCTGAACTGAACTGAACTGAACTGAACTGGGCTGAACTGAACTGAACTGAACTTATTAATTAGTGATTTTTAACTACGGATTAGTGATCTTTGATTATTTATTGATTATTTATTACTATACATATGTGTATATACAAATGTACATATTAAAATATTTACGAAAAATATACTATATAATTATAAAATTTATGGAAAATATATTAAAAACTTAAAACCTCAAAACATTTTAAACACATATTGATTATTATTATTATTATTTATTGATTATTATTATTAGTATTAGTATTATTATTATTATTGTTATTATTATTATTTATTGATGATTATTATTATTTATTGATGATTATTATTATTTATTGATTATTATTATTAGTATTATTATTGTTATTATTTATTGATTATTATTATTATTATTATTTATTACTTATTGATTATTATTATTATTATTATTGTTGTTGTTGTTGTTGTTGTTGTTGTTGTTGTTGTTGTTGTTGTTGTTGTTGTTGTTGTTGTCGTCGTCGTTGTAATAAGATCTTGAAAAAATGAAATTTGGCTTCATATCATTAGCAATATCATTAGACATAAATTAAGAACTGAACTGAACTGAACTGAATTTCAACGGAAGAGAACTGGGCCTATATGAATCTTCTTACAATCATATCATCACTAGCTCCTCCCCTTCTATATTTACTTTAATATTGCTTGGTTTGACTTTTATTACCCCTTACTTTAAGTGGATTGCTAAACATCGCCCGCAAATCTCCACATAAAGCCCACAAATCTATATTTAATTTACCTTATTGCCCTAAACCTAAAATAAAAAAATCTAACCCATACCCACACTCTAATCACCCGAAAATACGGCAATGTTGAGGCGGCAAGGCAAGGACTTGGCGGCCACAGCGGCGGAGGGAAGGACGGCTCACGGTGGCAGGGTTTTTTTTTAAAAATTAAAAAAAAAACAGAAGAGGTGGGGCGCCTGGCCAGGACGCCCAGCCCCTGGTGGTGGCGTCTGCTCCGGCCGCCGGAACCAGGGGGCTGGCGTCTGACCTGGACGCCTAGCCACGGTTGTGGCATTTTCCAGAGGCGCCACCGCCGTGGCTGGGCGTCCAGGTCAGACGCCAGCCCCCTGGTCCCGGCGGCCGGAGCAGACGCCACCACCAGGGGCGGCTGGGCGTCCTGGCCAGGCGCCCTACCACTTTTTTTTTTTTTGTCTAATATTTTTTTTTTTGGAAAATCATAATTCTTTTGTTAATGTTTAATATTTTTGTTTTATGTGTTAATGTTTTTATTTCTAATGTATATATTTTTTTTTAAATCAGAATTTTTGTGTTAATGTTTAATTTTTTGTGTTAATGTTTAATTAAAAAAAAACAAAAACTTTAAATAAAATTTTAAAAAAATTACAAAAAGTTTAAATAAAATTACAAAAAAAAAAAAAAAAATAACAAATTACAAAAAAAAAAAAAAAATAAAATAAAAATTTACAAAAAGTAGGGGTGGCGTCTGGCCAGGACGCCACAGCCATGGTGGCGGCGTCTGGCCAGGACGTTACAGCCATGGTGGCGGCGTCTGGCCAGGACGCCACAGCCATGGTGGCGGCGTCTGGCCAGGACGCCACTGCCATGGTGGCGGCGTCCTGACCAGACGCCACCCCTACTTTTCGTAATTTTTCCCCCGGATTATCTCGCTTTCCGGCGACGATGACGGCTCTTCGGTGTCCCTCGGCGATCCACTCCAGCTCCACATTCTTCGTGAGAGTGAATTACGGTTTCGGTAAAAATTAGAAAAAGGGCAAAAGAGTCAAAGTAAAAATATTTGTGGGCTTTATGTGGAGATTTGCGGGCGACGTTTAACAAATCCCTAATTTAATACTCTCAAATCTCAATCCAAGCGCCCCTAAACATTATTCTGTATCTCTTAAATCTCAAAACAATTTTAAATCCAACTCACAAATCCCCAAAACTGGCCCATTAGCTCAGCTGGTTAGAGCGCCGTGCTAATAACGCGGAGGTCGCAGGTTCGAGACCTGCATGGGCCATTGTTAAATTTTCTCCCTCCTTTATATTTTTAATTTTTTTTTTCCCTCAACATCACTATTCACTCTCTCTTTTTTTTTTCACCAAAAAAAAAAACAAAAAAAAAATTCCAACTTTCTCTCTCCTCAAACCATTTCCATCCACTCTCTTCCCTTTCTCACTCTCCTCAACCTCAAACCTCCATCAATGGCGACCACCGAATCACCTCCACAACCTCCAAACCCTAATCCTCAAGACTCCCTCATCCTCTTCAGCGGCCCTTCCTCCATCCAATTCCAACCCCAAACCCCTCCACCTCCGCCGCCGTCTTCTTCGCCGGAAAATCTCCCTCCGCCGTCGTCGCAGAAATCGGCGGCGTTTGGGCTGTTCTCGTTCCAGAAACGTCCGCCGTTGAGAGTCACTACAGAATTTGATAGCGAGAGCTCGGTGTTCTTCCACAAAGTATCGTCGAAGCTTTTCAATGGATTGGCGAAATTGAAATTTACTTTTCATAATAATCCTAAAGGCGAGGTTTCTGAGCCGCAAATCGCGCTTATTACGAAGCATCTTGCTATTCATTACGATGTTGAGGAGCAGAATGCGTTGGTTAAAGGGTTCCTTGATGTTGGCCCTAATCTTAAACTTAAGGCTGCTCATAATATTCAGGTTATTCTCTTTTCTTTCTTCTATTATTATGTTTGATTATTGTTTTGGAGTTTGTTATCGAATTGGGAATTATCGGATTGAAATTTCTGATGATTTGCTGGTTTAGGGTTCTTAATGAATTAATTAGTGTTGCATGCACTCGTGATCGCCTGCGCCATTGATGATTTGGTGGTAAGGGTGTGGCTGTTATTGGTTGGAGTACTTGAATTTGGTTTTATGGTAAATTGTACTTTTTTGGTAGGAATTTAGGATAGCTGGTTTAAATTTGGAATATGTTTCAATGAATTGACTCGAAATTAGGTTTCTTGTGGTGGATTTAGAGTTTTGATCAATCTATGATATTGTGCTGCGAAAAAATGTCATTTTTTACCTTCTGATGATTGTAGCTAAATAAATGGGAAGCAAATTGCTGTTTGACGTATGGTATCATGAAAATGCATCTCTTGGGTGTTGGTCATTTCAGTAATGGTGGCATGGCGCCTCGTTTAGTCATTGTGGTGATTTCTTAGGGAGAAAGTGACTTTTGTGAATTGTTCAGCAATTTTGATATTGCATATAAAGATTATATTTATAATGTGAGTTTAAAAAATGGTTGAGCAAGGAGGTCTAATGACTGGTAGCACATTTGTCTTCTTGCTGAGATGCTATGCCTGACTTCTGAGTGAGACTGAGGCTCCCTTGGAAACTATGACACCTTGTCTAAATATTACCTATGTTATTCGGACTAAGATACCATGTCTAACATGGGTACACGTCCAAGTGTCCAACTTGACTATTTTTTTGTAGAATATCCATAATTTTGGCCCAATATATGCTATAAACATCTGCTTCTTTTTAATACTTAAACTAAGTGCTTCTATATGTTGCTATGTCACTTGGGCTTTTCCTTATATTACGGAGTACTAATTACTCATTTTCAGACCTTAAACAATAAGATACTTTGTATGATGTTGAATTTTCGTTTTGTGGATATGTCGTATGGAATCAAAACTAACAATCTTTGTCGTCTTATTAACTGGCAGCTGATCTTTTATTTTATTTTATTGTTGTCTATCCAAATAGTATAGATTAAGGGTCATTGCTCTTTTTATCTTTTTTCCCTTAGGATAAAGGTCATCAATTTAATTTTGGATGGTTAAGTTTAGGATTTCTTGATGATTTTTTTTTTCAAAATAATAATAAAAAAATAGAGTCGATGTCATGTGACTTGTGATTAAACTAATTGAACTTGTTCTATGCTGATCTTGGTCATTACTCTTTGAAGCTTACTTGCTCATATAATATGCTATAAGCTTTGAGTTTAGAGGTTATATATGGGCTACATTACTCTGTGTGAGAGGCGTAGTATGGATCCTTTTTAGCTTCAATTGGCATTTGACTAGGCACCCATGCTAATCAAACCAGAATAACAAGGAGGGTGAAACCTACAGGCCTGAACTCAGCTTATTGACAAGGAACTTCTCTATGCATTATTATTTGAATGAGAAGAATTCACTGGTTAAAGGTTTACTCCACATTAGCTCCAGATTGCAGCTGAGAGCTGCTTATGATGCGAAGGTCTCTGATGCCCCTCCACCTTCTCTCTCTTCCTTCAGATTAGATGATCTTTTTTCATGCGATGTTCATTTTAACAATCTAAATTATTTTACAAAGCTATCTGTCCATTTTGCATATACTTTGAGATTGTTCTGTAATTGGTTTGCTATTTTGACTAGGATGCTAGATGTGTTAGGGAAATTGTAGTACCTTCTTGGAGAGCTTGAGATTATCCTTGTTTTAGATATAGTTTCTTATTTTGACTATTCATTTGATTATGTGCAGCTAAGCAGATCATAAATAAATCATCTTTTTTTAGTCGTCTCTGTGCTTTGTATGTAATGAATCTCCTTTTCACTTTATTCCTTATTGTGGAGGGTTGGGTGGATGATGGTTGTGTGTGTTGGGGGGGGGGGGGTGAAAGGATGCACATAGTTGCTTTAGGGAATCAGATTCTTCTTTCATACAAATTAAATATTCTTCTCAACTATATGTGATATGTTGCACACCAGTTACTTATCACATTCAAACTACCACCTTGGACAACCCAGAACCATTTATTTTCAAATACCTTGAAAATTATCTGGTAGATAGATCTGAAGCAGGACGATCCTCGATCCTTTAGCTACTCCTGCCATATTCTGGGTGATTTATTTTATTGGTGTTTGTAGCTATCACCCCAGGGGAAATTTTTTGGTGATACATATTAATATTTTTTAAAAATATAATTTTCTGCTGCTTTTGAAGAGTTCATGATGCTCTTTGAATTGAAAATTAGTAAGACAGTAAGAGAGCCATATACTTTGTCAATCTTTGTCTCTGTTCGTTTTTGTAACTTTATCATTAAGATATAAATTGTAAATAAAGGGGCTCTTTGTCTGGCAATCATAAGGCATTGAAATAAATCATTGTTTGATTTTAATACTTTTATTCCAATATTTGGTAGCGTTGAAATGTTCAGTTGGAGCTCAATGTTATCAATGCCTTTCTGAGATATGTGACAAGGGAAAGAACAGTTGGTTCTCTCTGTATGTTTTATACCATGTTGTGCTGTTATGTACAATTACTGTCAAAGTACATTTTAATAGACACTTTGTATACTTGAAGAAAATTTTGGTGAGTATTAAATGAGAATACTGCATGTGCTATTTGATTTTGGTCCATGTAATTGTTGCCCATCTCTTTTTAAGAGGATTAAGAGGATTGCTATTTCTTATTTGGTGTTTGACAAACTACTGATGGCTGTGATGTCATCATCAGCTACAAGCATTATCTAAGAATGACTGTTGTGACTGTTGATATCTGCACTGACAGAACTTCCAAAATTACAGGCACGACAAGGAGAAGTCTCATTGGCAGCAAATCTCTCTGATCCAGGCTACAAATTTGAACTGGCCACTGATTTTCCTTCTATTGGTCTGGTGAGCTCATTTGGTTCTTAGTATGTCCTATTTCTTAATTGGCTAGTTTTAGCAGTTGGTGATCCAAAATACTGATTTAATGGCTTTTTCTTTTCATTTGTCAGTTTTGGTGAGGTCAGTTGGTTGTCACTATTTTGCCCTTGTCCATATTTGTAAGCTTGTTCTGGCTGGTTCTGTGTTTTCTTAAAATTAATATTTTAATTTTTAGAACTAGTAGCATGCCAACAGTCAGCTCCCTTTTTTGTTGGTATGCTATCCTAAATTGCGGGAAAGGGGGTGGGGCCCGTAGGGGAGATTAAGTTCTTTGCTTTGGAGTTTCATTATGTTCTCTTTTAAGTTGCTGTCCTAATACAACTGAATGGTAATGACTTTATTCTGTGATTGTGATGCTGCAGCCAAAGGCAACTTTAACATTTCCTTGTGGTGAAGTTTCATTAGTTGAGAAAGATGATGAAGATTTGAAGAGAGTTTTGTCAGTAAGTGGTATTGCTAAAGGTTCAATTCTCAATGGCCTTTGCACTGCTGTGTACTGTGATGAAACTTTGAAACTAAGATACTCATATAAGGTAGTGTTTCTAGCACACTCTTGCTTCTGTTATCTTGTTCGGAAGCTCCCTTTTCTCATTATAAAAAATTTCTTATCACCAATACTTTATTGTATGTAATCAACTTGTTGGAGGAAATGATACAGGGATCTGACTTGGCTCTGAGCTGACTTCCACATTTCGGCTTGTTATACCTTTTCTGCTTTCTCTTGTATTGTTGTCCCAGAGTTGAATTTTTAAACTCTGTGCAGGATGATGAAATGTCATTTATTCCAAGCATTTCTTTGCCTTCAAATGCTGTTTCATTTGCATTCAAGCGACGCTTTGGTCCTTCAGACAAATTAAGGTGCATCCTTCACTCTGTATATGTTAATTTCCCTTTAAATATTTGACATAGACTATAATTAATGTATGGAAAAAAGAAACTTACGTGCTCACTTGGTCCTCTTTTTACTCTGTAAAATAATTGCTTCCAGTTACTGGTACGACTTTGATACAAATTATTGGAGTACTGCGTACAAGCATACTGTTGGGAAAGATTATAAATTTAAAGCTGGGTATGATTCCGAGGTCAGGCTTGGATGGGCGTCACTTTGGGTAAGTTTTTCCTGTCTTAATCCACTGTTATTGATGTTTGCCAACATATATACTCAATTGTTCATCCAAATTTAGTTTTGCAATGCTGTGTCAGCTATGAATCCCTTTATTGGTTTGAGCCCCCCCCCCCTCCACAACCTTTTTTTTTTTTTTTTTTTTTTTATTTGTTGCTATATCATTGCGATATTAAGATAACTAAAGACGCATGGAGGATAGATACATGACCACGGCCAAAAGGTGCTTTTGGTGGATTTTGTTAAGTTCCAAAGTTGAATTTGAGATAGATGCGTACATCTTGTAAACTATCTGGGTAACTTATTGTTCCATTTTTGTCCATCAAGCTTACTGTGGATCAATTTTACAGCTGAATCATCAAATCGTTGTAATTTTTTGGGCATAGAAAACCGGTTACTTGAAACCGTTATCTTCTCTCTTAAAAACATACTGAGTATTATGTAAAGAATGATCTGTTTTTTAAAAATCAATCTGCTACAGAAAATGCTTCACAACAGTTAAAAAATCTACAAAGTAATTTTAATGCTTAGGATAGCTGAGGTCAATGAAGGCATTACCTTACATAAATAAAAGAGGAAGACCACGAACATAATTTTCTGATAAAAGACTTGGAGAAGAAATTGGTTTCTTTTGATCTGATTTCATATCTTCCAAGATTAATGTAGGTTGAATGTTTGTCTTCTAATTTGCTTACTGACGCTGTCTATAAAACTTGGTCCAGCATGCATATGCATTATGCTAACATAGTTCTTATTGTACAAACTTACTAACTTAAAACTCCCACAATTATTTTCTGTAGAACCCTTTTTGTTTAAGATTTTTCACCCTTGTAAATCAATGAACGACTGTGGGTTTTATTTCATTATTGACTTCGCTTAAAGCTTGTCAAAATAAAGCAATGATTTCTTAATCACACTCCCTCCATCCTAGAATAACTTGAACACTTACTTGTATTGGTATGGTCCTACAAAAAAGTACTACCTCCGTTAACTTTTAGTTGCAACTTTGGGGTATTATTTGTGAGATATAAAATATTCCGAAATTGCTATTAAAAGTTAACGGAGGTAGTAAATATTTCTTACCTTTCTTTTGGGCCTACTATCTCATTTTAGCGCCTACTTTTTTATTAAAAACAACCTACAAATATTCCTGTAACTCCCATCACATCTACTTTTCCATTAAAAGTAACAATAAGTAATCCAACCACAATTTATTTCCTAAAACTTTATATATTGATAATTCAAACTAATGTGGGATGGAGAGAGTTTTACAAAGGGATTTTGTACCTTATTACAATGATTTTGTGTTTTAACCCAAATCCAAGTACTTATGATTGATACTTGACACCCCTAGCAGTATGAGCGTCTAGACACTTAATTTTGGTCAAAAAGGAGAAAGTTAGTTATTTTTATCTTTAAACATATACAAGTTATAATGAAGGAAAGTATTTATGTCCCATGCTCTGTATTTCTGTTCTAATACTGATCACTCATAATCACTTCCTCAAGCCCTCTAGCTAAGAATTTTTCATGTCAGAATTTTGGATTCTTACCTAAATTTGACACTTGTGTCCAAGTCTGAGCATCATAACCTTAGAGGCTCAAGGGAATTGGAAATAATAGTTTAATTGGGACCTCATTCTTGACTATGGTGATTGGTGAGAGTCTAAGTGGGTTTAGACACTAGAACAGCCTCGCAAATTGCTGCTGAAAGTGGAATAGAATTGCTTTGCACTCTAATCTCCTCGATGAATCCATTGGGACATGCAAAACTAGGATCTTAGAGAGTAGAGCTATGTAGTATTGTGTATTGCTTTCATAATGTTGAAATCTTAAGAGTTTTGATTTATCTTTTATTGTGAATGTGCCTTTAAAATATGGACCTCTTGAGTGAACATCACACCAGTGAGAAGTTTGATGGGTTTCAATGTTACATTTTTTCAAACATATTAGCTGTAAATGGGAATAGTGGACTCTTGTGTGACAAATGTTGATACCTCCTTTTTAAGGAGAACGTTGATGTTTCTACCTCTAAAAATTGTCCTTGCAAAAAAATATATTTTCGTAATCATTTTATAAATAGTTTAACAATTATATTCTTGATGGGGTTTATTTCCTTGCTCAAACATCCTGGGTTACCTCTTCTTTTTTTTTTTTTTTTTTTTTTTTTTTTTTTTTTTTTTTGTGTCTGCTGGATTTCCTAATCCCTTGTGAAGATTATTTTTGCGAGATAAATATGAGTTAAGATCTCGTTATGTATTTTAATATTTTATCCTTAAGCCATCATTAAGGTAATGTTTTAGGGAAGGGGAATAATTGTATTTTTGAAATGTCTATTTGGTAGATGGTAGGTTTAGATTAGTTTACTATTTGCATGTGTGATTCCTATGTCTGTCATAGTGGCGTGGATATACATATTGAGTACAAAGAGTCGCAAAAGTCCCTCCTTGAGTTAGCATAGTAGCATACACCAAAAAAAAAGGTCGGGCGCCATTTTACATAGGAATTAGCTAGAGATTACCTTGTCTGCTCCTTAAGGGTTTAATTCCACGCATCAGATCAGAATGCATTTAAGATAATTACACAACAACAAATCATTAGTAAATTTCTTTATAGAATGACTATGATAGCTCCCTATTCGACAAGGGTTTTCTTCATTTTGTTAGTTTCATTCTCTTCTTTAATTGGCCATGAATCATGTTATCAAATTAATCTCTCTTTTTGAGGGGGCATAATGAGTGTTTTAAAGAATTTTAAGCAGGCGAGATATATGAAATAGTGCTATTGCGTAGAGATTAATCTTTCAGCATCCTACTTAGTTTCTTCCAAGGATGCTCATATTCCCTTAACTAGTTATTATGCAACAAATGTATATAATTACAAATTTTTTCTTGTTTCCAGGTTGGAGATGAAGGTGGTAAAGCTAAAGCTGCGCCTATGAAAATGAAAGTGCAATTCATGCTTCAAGTGCCTCAAGATGATATAAAATCTTCAGTTTTGATGTTTCGAGTAAAGAAGAGGTGGGATATATGATATCGTAAAGGCGCAGGTTTTTTTTTTTTTTTTTTTTTTTTTTTTTTTCTCTCTCTCTTTTATTGGGCGCTAAGTATTCAAGCTCCATAGTGAATTTAGAGATGTTAATCTGTAGGCATTTTTGTTTCTGCAAATATAACTCGATATTTTCACTTATATAATTTAATGTGAGGAATATTTGAGAATCCTAGCTACGTAATTGGGGTTTTATTTCATAAGGTGTGTTATACTACGTAACCTCTATACAATATATTATTTCCTCGGTTTTTAAAACTAGTAATATGTTAGGGCTTGTTTGGCATCATTTTTGGTTTTCAGTTTTCTGTTTTTTTAAAACCAAAAACCAAAAACAGGAAACAAGAAAAAGATGTTTTTACTTTTCTGTTGTCAGTTTTCAAAATTATCATGATTTTAATAAGTCTATATATTTTTTGATTCATTATGTGACATATATAAAACACTTTTAAAAAACAAAAAACCAAAAAACAGAAAACCACAGCGATGTCAAACGAACCCTTAGCTTTTTAATTTGTTCACAAACGTTTCTTTTGATTATCTTTGGTGATTTATATCTAAACAAAAAGTACAGTCATGCGTTGATTCCTTCCGTTCATAATGTTAGTCCCATATGAAATCAATTATATAAAATAAGAAAAAGAAATATATTTGGAATCTAACATTAAAGTACAACATAATTCATAATTAGTTACCTTATTTAACTTTTTTGATTTTTTATTAGGAAAGCAGAAGTCATAATTGCATAATTTAAGGTAAAGATTTCTTTCTTAGAGTCATGTCATCAATTCACAACCAATTAATTCCAAAAATATCAATAGTATATGGGACTAACATTATGAAACGAAGAGAGTATTACTTTGTGTAATATTAAAAGTGTTAGCATGTAGAAATTGATGAAACTAATTTCTTACCTTTTTTATTTTTTGATAGCCAATATATACAATATTTTGCCGTTTTATACGTAGTAGATTACAATAACGGACTTTTATGAAATTTTTAGCATTTAATTTTGTAAAATAATTAGGAAAAATTAGAAAATAACACCACATAATTTGCAAAATTTTGATTATAACCTCCTTTTCTAAAAGTTTTATTATAACACCACATAAAAAATTGAAAATTTAATATCATTGCAAACAGTTTCTATGACGGAAAAAGAGTGTGGGTCCCACAGTTTAGTTGACCCCCCAATTTTTTTTACCTTTTGAACTCAATTCTCCCTCTCTCTCATTGATTACTCAAATGCTCAAACATTCATTTCTCTCTGATAAGATTCAACCACCAAAAATTGATATTGAAATGAAACCCTAATCTACATTTTGTGGTTGAGAAAGTAAATTGAGAGGAGAGGTGCCATTGTTTGTGCGATACAACTCAGTTTGAAGTCGTCAGCCATTTTCATCAAGGTAAAAGCTTGGCTATTTCTCAGCGACAGGAAGAAGATTCCAAAAGAGGTACTCCCTCCGTCCCCGATTGATAGTCACTTTTGAAGAAAAATCACGGGAACTAAGGAGATTTAAAGAAAGTACATTGAAAATGTAAATTTACATTGGGTATTCTAAAAAGTAGAGAGAGAAAGTAATTAAAGTACATGGAAAAGTAATATTTACATGGGAAAGTTAAATTTGCACAAATATTTTTGCAAATGTTAGAGAATTTTGGTAAAAAAATAATATTAATAGTATCTGTAAAAAGCAAATGTGACTAACATTTTGAGTCAACAAAAATGGCAAAAGTGACTATTAATCGGGGACGGAAGGAGTACCAATTAACCTTTTTACAGTATTTTATTTTTGATTTCTGATGTCAAAATTGCAATAATGGTGTTCATGTTAGGGTTAATTTGGGGAAAAATGTAGCTGACTGTAAAATAGTCAAACTTCCCGACGAATTACCGTGAATTAGGGTTAATTACGATATAATTGGAAAAATTGGCTTAGTAAGTGGTTAAATGTTGTTAATTATTGTGTCATTTTTTAATTAAAAAGTGTGAGTTTGTTGCATTGTTAAATGTAGTGTGGTGGGGTTTTGATGTTTTCTGAATTGCTAATTTCCTTGCTACTTATGTTGGAATTACTGCTTGCATTGTGACTGTTATTCCAATTGGTTATTGTGTAGATAATGGCCACCACTGATGGTTTGATAGACATTGTTTTTCGAATTGGGGGGGGGGGGGCTTTTAATTTGTCCAAAAGAGAATAAGCAGATTAAGAAGTTTACTTTGCTACTGTGGTGGGTTATGTTACTGGAGAAGGGGGGTTAAAGTTGTTGGGGTTTGGTGAGTCCGACTCACCGCGGAAACAAACCCCGACCCAAGGAACCACTTGCAATAATTAAAATCATAAAGCATAAATAAATAATCACAAAGAAAAGATAACGAATCTTACCCTCGAAGCGAGCTTCGCCAAAAAACTGGGGCTCTTACTTGAAAGCTACGAGCATGTCAAGCGCTGCGCCTCCGACGGTATCCACCCACAAAAAGGCGAACACAACTTTAAGGTCTACTACCTGGGGGTTAGCGAGGTCCGACCAAAACCCGAGTGTTATATGAGTTTAAGAGTTTTCCCAATATTATGGAATGCTCTTTTTAACTCCCACTCAAGCATCATTTCCAATGCCCAAAGTTGGGTATTTATAGGGAATGATGGAGTATGGAAATCTCTCTTATCAATGTGGGACAATGAGATTTTCACATTTTATTTTAAAGCTAAAATAAAATTATTAAGCAAACTAGTAATAAATCAACAAGTGTCAAGCATACATGAGAGAGTAGGTGAGGACCACTTGGAGATGGGGACCAAACTTGCTCCCCACTCTCTCCCTCACCTTGTGCCACATGGAAACCCCACTTGGGCACCAAGGCACCCCAAGTGTGGGCTGCTCGCTGCTGCTACACCTACGACCCAACAGGCCACGCACATGTGTACTGGCTGCTTGGTCGAGGCCTGCTGCTAGCAAGCCACGCACCAACATGCGGGCTGCTGGCCATGGCCTGCTAGCATGCCTCGCACATTTGTGCGGGCTGCTGGCCAGGCCTGCTGCTAGCAAGCCACGCATGCTAGTGCAGGCTGCTGGCCAAGGCTGCTAGCACGCCACGCACATTTGTGCTGGCTGCTGGCCAAGGCCTGCTAGCATGCCACACACACATGTGCGGGCTGCTGGCCAGCCTAGCTAGCCAAGGCGCGCTAGCACGCACCTGCCAGCCTAGGCTCGGCTTGGTGCGCTTGCTAGCCACCTTGCTAGGCCATATACCCTTAGCACTCGGTTTTCTCGATGCTAGGGGTATTTTAGTAATTTTGTTGATTTATTAGTAAATATCTTCGACTCGACTTCCGACGATCGGTTTCGACGTTCTAAGCTCGAATTACCGACGTCTAAATATTTAACACTCGGACGACGAATTAATTTCTTCCGAATTAATTCGTCGAGTTGGTTCGCATATATTTGCTTGGGTGTGACCCGAAGGGTTCAGTCAAGATTAAGCTGTAATATTAATTATATTAATATTACTGATCGGAAGCGGCCTCCACCCAGGCATTCCGATCACTTGACCTTACTGAATATATTAGCTTTCTAATAATTCTGAACCCGCTATCAGAATAATACACTTGTTCGAAGGACACTATTCCTTTCAAAAGTACCTAAGCTTGATGTGCATTATATTAGGGAGACTACTGTACATGGATTTGTTAAGTACAATGTGGATGTCCCTACCCAATATAGGTGTTGGTATAGGGAAAAAGGGAAAACATTTAACACTGGTAAAAGAGAAATAGTGAATGATGATGAAATTAGGGGGCTTTTACAGACAGTAAATGGGTAAGGGTATGTGGAAGTGTTTGTTAGTGACAATGAAACAGACCACCAGGTTAGTGATAGGCCCATTACTCTTGAGACCCAACACACCCCACAAAAGACTGGTTCAAGGAAGGTTAACACAATAGGTAAGAGTGTTGTTTTTAGGAGAAGTCCTAGGCTACATAAAACAGAAAAACAAGACATTTAAAGGGGTGTTTCTTCACCTAAACCTAGATCTAGTTTGCCTACCCAGAAAAATAAGGGAAAGGGGAACCCTTCAAAGTGCAAGGGTGTGTGAGGCTTCTGGAAGTGGGAAGGACAAGGGGAAGGGAAAACAAAAGCAGCTGCAAAGGGGTTGGTGTTTGAGGATGACAGTGATGGGGATGATAGATCTGGGAGTGAGACAGGTTCTTCAAGTGATGATCAAAGTGAAAGTGACATAAACTGGGAGCCAAGAAAGAGGAGTATGATGATGGTGATGAGAAGTGGTTTATATAAGATTCATCCGACATACTTGAGGAGGTTAATAGGAAACTCAAGCAGGGTTTAAGTAAAGAAGGTGACCAGATGTGGTGAAGGAGGAGAGTTCAAAACTTAGAGAGAACTTGGACATAACTGAGGTTCATATTCAGGAAGAAATAGAAGGGGATTCTGATGATCTTAGAAGCTTGCATGGTTCTTCTGATAAAGAAGACAATAACCCTTGGTATAATGAGAAGGTTGATTTTGATAAGCCTATTGAGCTTGCTGCAGTTCAAGAATGCCTTGGTGCTGAGGAAAGCTTTAAGGCTTCATGCTATTTCCTACACAATGACAACAATAGGATTACTATTCATTGTAGGCATAGATGTGGTTGTGAGTTTAGTACAAAGACCAGCAGAATGCCTCAATGTGTGTGTGTGTGTGTGTGTAGCTGGTGTGAAGTGTAATTTTAAGGTGTATGCTAGGAAGTTGGTTAGACAAGAGAGTTGGAAAATTAGAAGTTTGAGGTTCAGCATAACTGTATGAGGTCAAAGGGGAATACAAAGGTTACTGCAGAATTCATTGCAGAAAGATATCTTGAGGATTTCAGAAGCAATCCTGGGTGGAAGGTGAAACATATTAGGGACAGAGTGCTCAATGACTTGGGTATATAGGTGACTTATTTCAGAGCATGGATGGTAAGGTGTAAAGCAAAACTAATCATTTATGGGTCACATACTGAACAATATGCTAGGATTATGGCAAGGATATAATCAAGCATAATCCTGGATCAGGTTGCACTATAAATGTTGATGGAATTTGCAATCTTGAGCCACCTCTCTTTTTGAGGATGTTTATATTCCTAAGGCCATTGAATAATTGATTTGTAAGGGTTTGTAGGCCTTTAATTGGGCTGGATGTCCATACCCAGGGCAAATACTAGTGGCAGTGTCTAAGGATGGGAACAATGCAATATACCCCTTAGTTT